GTTTCGATGCTAGTCAAGCAACTCAAATGGGACATGTCAGGGATCAAATTGCTACACAAATGTAGAATAACTACTCAAGATATCGTACATGATTCCGTGGATGTACTTTATATTTTGTTTAATGTCTGCTTTTTTTGTCATGACATGTAAACTTCTAATAGTATTTAAGAATTGTTTTGTCAAATTTAATTTAGGTTGTATTTTTTATATCTGTCAAAAAATATTTCAAGATTCACCAACTTCAAAATTTATATGTTATTTAATACTATAATAACATTAAACTATTAAAATTTATTGAGTAATCATATTTCTTGAATAAAATATTAATAAAAGATATTTTCAAAATTTTAAAGTAAACGCATTTTTCACTTTTATGTTTTCAAAAATAGTTTCTTAGAACGACAAAGAAAACGTATTTTTAGCAATTTCAAAACAGACACTCAAAACACAAAACCCAAAATGAATTCAAAATTCAAAACTACAAAATTGAAACGCAAAGAGAACAACCCCTAAGGAATTTGGTGAAGTTACGAAGGAACTCAATCGATTTTGGTGATTTCGACATCTTTCAATTCATGTAATTGAGTTTTTCATTGTTAAACAGTTTTAGAATCAGATTTCCATGTTTTGAATGAGTTTTGACATTAGTTTAACATTTATTAGAATTTCCATAGACTCGGTCACGCATTTTCTATCAAATATTCGAAATATTTGTTGAATTGCAATTTCAATTACTTAAAATTATTAATGTGATTCTCTATTGCCTTATGCCTATGTATATGATCGTTTTTTAATCTGATTTCATTAATTAATTGTGCGAATTTGTTTTTAGGAAACGTGATTTCTAGAATTACCATTGAATTGAATTTGTGCTTAACGTTATATCTTCCAAATAAAGAGTTAAATTTAATGCTTTAATCGAGTGAAAACATATGAATTGATGATGTTGACTGACACAAACCGGTTGGGGAAATTCCTACGCTTCACTTTTATGTACATTGATTTAATTTCACTATATAAACTTTGATTTCATTCAAAACGTAAAATCATTACAAATTTTGAGAGAACCATCACCTTTTGGACCTTGGATTATTTTTCATTTCTCTGTGGATACGACACCCCAAAACTATACTACAATAATCGTGTTATACTTTGGGCGTAATCAAGTTTGCATTCAATTGACTCCTATCAATCTTCAAAGTATCTTTTGTGGTCCAAATCAACCATTGCATATTCATACTTTTGTCACCATACTTTGGATTTATTTCATTTTTGCTCATTTTTCGTTCATTTCTTCCAATTCGACCAATTTGCATTGAGTTCAACCTAACAAACATACTTAACACATAATTAAGCTATAAGTCATTCAAATCACTAACAAATACTCAAATTTATTTGCCTGGATAAGTGTACAAATTCAGACTTCTTAATGGAAACTATTCTATTATTTGACAAGAAGCCTTTGTATACAATGACAAAACCTCCTATATAAATAGTCTGCTATCATGAAAGTTGTTTGTTGCTTTTTAAGTCCGTGAATATTTCAGACTTCTCTCTACTAATGAGTTGTTCTTGCAACAATATGCCACCATTTTAAAGAAAGAATTTGTACTTCATCATGATTCATCATCAACTTTCTTTGCCTGAGTTCCAAGTACAATTAACAAGCAACGAATGGACAAAAATGACTCTCAGAGCAATCCCCGTAATTAAATTTTCAGATGAAAAATCAATTGTTAGCTCATTTTCCTCCTTTTTTTATCAAACAAATAGGAGGAAATTAAAAATCATGCAAGGAAGAAGGAAAGGAGTCAAATATGTGCATATACTAGTTTATATAATTTAGCATAAATGAATCAACAAAATTAAAAGCCATTATTCTTCCTCCAAAATTTTTAAGCGTTGTTTAAGCCAGATAGAAACAAAGATTTGTTTAAGCTCATAAACACTATGAAATAATGAAACATTATTCTTCCTCCAAATTTTAGTAAAAATGTATTTTGATACATTAGTTCCAAAATAAGTTAACTTTTACCTTATAAACATGTTCAGATATATTTGAAAACTTGTAGGTGCTAACTTGCAAAAAATTCCTCTTTCCAGCAAGAAAATGATTCTTCCTTAGATGTTCCATGTACCTGCTAATAAGGCTAACAACATGCATAGTATCAGGTTTTGTTCCAGTCAAATACATCAAGCTTCCAACTATAAGTCGTGAGTCAACCCTTTTTTTCTTTAGGATCTTTTATGAGCTTTAGACCAAACTCTATTGAAGTGCTTACAAAATTGCAATTCTTCATCTGAAACCTATCCAAAATTTCTTACACATACTTTTGCTGGGGGACAAAATTACCATCAACAGATTGCAGTATATCTATACCAAGAAAATAATGCATCATTCCCATATTAGACATTACAAACTCAACTATCATGGATTCCTTAAATTTTTTAAACATAGCTCTACTACTTTCAATGTAGAAATAAATTATCCATGTATAAGCAAACAATGAGCATTTATCCTCCATCCCCAATTTTTATGGAAAATGTATGTTCATAAGGACATTTTTGAATTCAAAAAATAAGTTTCTACATGATTATACCTAGCTCGTGGAGCTTGTTTTAATCGATATAGAGCCTTCTTTAACCTGTACGCTTTATATTCATTTCCAACTTTAATATAATCAGAATAAATATAAGTTCATTCAAATCTCCATGGAGGCATACTGGTTTCACGTCTATTTGAATAAAAAAAGAAAAGGCCAGAGTTTTAAGCAATCTGATTATATCAAGTCTAACAACCAGAGCATAAACTTCTTTGTCATCAACATCCAACTTTTGCTTATAACCGTTTGCTACCAAGTGTGCCTTGTACTTGTCAACTTCACAATTCTCATTCTATTTTGTCTTATCAACCCAATTGACACCAATTGTCTTTTGCCGCTTTGGAAAATCAGTCAAATCCCATGTATTGTGTCTTTTGCTATTTCATCATCCATAGCCTTCCACCATTTTGATTCATTGGCAGCACTTTCAAAAATTGTGGGATCACAATCTGAAAATAAAGCAAAGCGTGTAAGTGGATCTTCATTTTGATAAATTTCGGTTACCTCATAATCTGACGTCCATGCCGACTTCTTTTGAACACTACGAGAATGAGATCCTTCAACATGTTAATCATATTCTAGTGTTGTTTGTGTGATTTCAGAAGTTAAAGGAGGTTTATTTTGAGGATTCTCATGTCCCACGATTGTTGGAAAAGTTTGTTGCTGGGGCTGTTTTGCTTTATCATCATTTTCCCAGTCAAAATTAGTTGGAATTTGTTCTCTAACAACATTTTTATTCCATGGCAAGATTTAATCTTCATTAAAATTATTTCGACTGGTAAGTATTTTCTTAGTGCTAGGATTGCAAAGCTTATAAGCTTTTGATTGATCACTAACACCGAGAAAAATGCATTGTTATCCCTTGTCATATAGCTTTTTTTTCCTTCTGGTCTAGAATATGGGCATATGCAACACACCCAATAATTCTGAAATGATCTACAAATGGTTTTAGTTCGCTCATGCTTTCTCTGGTGTCATGTTTTGAACAGCAAGTGTAGGGCTACTATTTAGAATATGAATGCTCCAATTAACTGCTTTGGGTCAGAAATTTTTCGAAACACAATTCCTTTTCAAAAGGCTTCATACACATTAAGAATAATGCGATTTGTCCTCTTACATACGTCATTTTGTTGGGGGCATATAAGCTGTTGTAAGTTGCCCCTTGATTCCATAGGTTTCACAAAAATTTGTAAATTCATGTAAATTATACTCTCCACCCCGATCAGCTTGAAAAGTTTTATGGGATTGCCAACTCTTTTCCGACAAATGCTTTATAGCTTTTAAAAGCTAGAAAGGTTTCGAATTTTTCTTACAAAAAGTAAACTCAAATTTTTCGACTATAACCATCAATGAAGGTAATTATATATCTTTTACCTCCATTAGAACACGGGGTTATTGGCCCACAAATATCAGAATAAACAAGCTCCAATGGCATTTTCACTCTCCCTGATTTTCCTTGCTGGAATTGATTATAGTGTTGTTTGCTAACAACATGTTCTACACAAACTTGAGAAGGAGCTGAAATTTAAGGAAAACATGTCGCCATATTCTTCTGTTATAGTCTTTAACCACCAAAATTAAGATGCCCGCAGCGAATATGTCATATCCATTCCTTCTTCTTCAGTCTTGTAGGAAACTATGGGTGAGTGGTGTTGTGGAGATACAATGGAAAAATTAGGTTGGCTGTCATGTTGATTTGAGTCATCAAGCCCAATTTTTCATCTTCAATTTTGCAAACTCCATCTTTGATGAGATCTCATATCCCTTTTTCTTCTTGTTGATTAACATTAAGTTAATTTATTCTCAAATTTGGAACAAATAGAACATTAGAAATTGTTTAAATAGAACTTCTATTGGTTTGAATTGCTACCTTTCCTTTTCCTATAACAGAAACTTTAAAACAATTAACAAATTTCACAAAATCATAAAAAGATTCATTTAGTTCAGAAAATGCTGTCTTCTCTCTACATTTATGGTTACTGCAACCTGTATCTAAGTACGACAAATTCTTATAGTTTTCCTCCTTCACATGAAAGGCCATTAAGAAAGACACTTCGTCTTCCTTCTCTACAAAATGGTATTGCTTACCATCATAATTGTTGATATTGGTTTGACATTTTGGCTTGTAATGGCCATATTTGTGACACTGTAGCATTCAACTCTTGTTTTGTTTGTTGACTTTGATTTAGAGTATGTTGAAATATTGTTGTCATGACCTCTCCCTCTTCTTAGAGTATTAGAAAACTAACTATCTTCCAAAAATTTATAGGAGTATCTACCATAATTGTTGACTCGGCCCTTTCCTCATCCTTGATCTCCTCTTTTTGATGTTGAAAAATAATTATTAGTTGAGGCTTGTAATGCTTGCTCCTTCTTATCTTGTCGATGCATCTTCTGCTAATAAACCAACAAAGCACTTTGTAACTCATCATGAGAAAGATCATCAATATCATTTGATTCCTCAATAGAGCAAACAACATAATTGAATTTTGTTGTCATGGAGCAAAATATCTTTCCAACAATAGTCACATCTTCCAATGTATCACCATGTATCCGCATCTTATTAGCGATTGCCATTGTCCTTGAGAAGTAATCTGAAACAGATTCTCCCTCCTTCATTTGTAGAGTTTCAAATTCACCACGAAGTGCTTGAAGCTGCATCCGTTTGGCCCTTGCATTCCCTTGATTCTTTTTCTTCATGGAATCCCAAATCTACTTGCCAGTAGCTTTTTTAAGAATGGTTTCCAGAATTGAGTGATCAATGGCTTGGAACATGTAGTTCTTTGCCTTAAGATCTTTCAATTTCAGCCCTTCTTGCTCTGTCTTTTGAGCATCTATCAACACAACTCCTGCTGTTGGTTCTGCTACTCTAGAATCAACAACCATCTAGTAATCTTTGAACCTCAAGAAGTTTTTTATGAGCATGCTCCAATGGTAATAGTGACAATCAAAGCATAGAATTGCAAGCTGTACAAAATTCTCAGAAGCTATGAAAGAAATTTATCACACAAGTGGAAAGAAGTAAGTTGTTGCTTTAAAACACTCCCTCATGTGTGTTACATTCTTGTGATTTTAACCTCACTCTGATACCAATGATAATAAATGGACACTCAAAAAAAAAATTTACTGTAAGTAAAGAAAGCTACTACATTCTTTAAATGGGCTAAAGAAAACAACAAAAGCCAATTAAGAAAAATGAGAAAACTGAACGCATTGAAAACCTTTACGGAGTGGGCTATTTATAGCCATAGGGCTGTAAGTATTATGCCCTAGGTCCAATCAACTTTGGATATAAATACTTTTATATATAATTAATGCAATTAAATGACAGATCTATTATTTAATTAATAAACAATTAAATAAATAATAGAGTCCGCAGATTCAAATATTTGTAATTTGTTAATCACAAGGAGTTGTGATTGTGAGATACAAATTACATCTGATTGAATCTTAAATCATCCGTGGTCGTAAGTAATAACGAGATACGGATATCGTTATTACGGATAGATCATCACGTGTGGCATTTCTTACTTGTGAAGTAAGTAGCTGATCTCACAAGTTAAAGTGTGGTGACACTTAAATGAACACGTGAATGTTTGTTATAGAACAAAACATTGGAGACCCGTCGAGAGATTCCACATGGATAACTATCTGAGTGTCGGTGGTTAATCTCTAACGTTCGGTAGTGAAATTGGTCCTTTGACTTGAGGTCGTCATGGTACCTTATATGAGGACAGTCATACTTTGGCGATGTTGGATGTTGCTCTGAAAAGGGCCGCTAATACGACATTGTTCGGGTACGTCAAGAATCGTATGAAGGTTGTGATTGATCAATAAAGGATTCGTCACTCTTAGATAGTAGGAGATTATGATCTACGTTTCATTCAATTAAGTCAATGATGAAATCCTTGGCCAAGGTGTACTCATAAGTCGAAAAGGAGTTTTCGATTTATATTGACTTAATAGTGGAGTGAAAGATATGATCGATGATCGAGATTGACACAATTCCATATCTCGTAATTGATCGGATCATATTGACGAAGGGATTATAGTTTCACGGTAAACGAACGAATTTGGTTTTGTCATACCACGTGACAATTTTCCGTCACATGTATTGCCCTGACACATTGCTAGATATCAATCAGGGACGATGCTTTCTCTGGTGTCATGTTTTGAACAGCAAGTGTAGGGCTACTATTTAGAATATGAATGCTCCAATTAACTGCTTTGGGTCAGAAATTTTTCGAAACACAATTCCTTTTCAAAAGGCTTCATACACATTAAGAATAATGCGATTTGTCCTCTTACATACGTCATTTTGTTGGGGGCATATAAGCTGTTGTAAGTTGCCCCTTGATTCCATAGGTTTCACAAAAATTTGTAAATTCATGTAAATTATACTCTCCACCCCGATCAGCTTGAAAAGTTTTATGGGATTGCCAACTCTTTTCCGACAAATGCTTTATAGCTTTTAAAAGCTAGAAAGGTTTCGAATTTTTCTTACAAAAGGTAAACTCAAATTTTTCGACTATAACCATCAATGAAGGTAATTATATATCTTTTACCTCCATTAGAACACGGGGTTATTGGCCCACAAATATCAGAATAAACAAGCTCCAATGGCATTTTCACTCTCCCTGATTTTCCTTGCTGGAATTGATTATAGTGTTGTTTGCTAACAACATGTTCTACACAAACTTGAGAAGGAGCTGAAATTTAAGGAAAACATGTCGCCATATTCTTCTGTTATAGTCTTTAACCACCAAAATTAAGATGCCCGCAGCGAATATGTCATATCCATTCCTTCTTCTTCAGTCTTGTAGGAAAATATTGGTGAGTGGTGTTGTGGAGATACAATGGAAAAATTAGGTTGGCTGTCATGTTGATTTGAGTCATCAAGCCCAATTTTTCATCTTCAATTTTGCAAACTCCATCTTTGATGAGATCTCATATCCCTTTTTCTTCTTGTTGATTAACATTAAGTTAATTTATTCTCAAATTTGGAACAAATAGAACATTAGAAATTGTTTAAATAGAACTTCTATTGGTTTGAATTGCTACCTTTCCTTTTCCTATAACAGAAACTTTAAAACCATTAACAAATTTCACAAAATCATAAAAAGATTCATTTAGTTCAGAAAATGCTGTCTTCTCTCTACATTTATGGTTACTGCAACCTGTATCTAAGTACGACAAATTCTTATAGTTTTCCTCCTTCACATGAAAGGCCATTAAGAAAGACACTTCGTCTTCCTTCTCTACAAAATGGGATTGCTTACCATCATAATTGTTGATATTGGTTTGACATTTTGGGTTGTAATGGCCATATTTGTGACACTGTAGCATTCAACTCTTGTTTTGTTTGTTGACTTTGATTTAGAGTATGTTGAAATATTGTTGTCATGACCTCTCCCTCTTCTTAGAGTATTAGAAAACTAACTATCTTCCAAAAATTTATAGGAGTATCTACCATAATTGTTGACTCGGCCCTTTCCTCATCCTTGATCTCCTCTTTTTGATGTTGAAAAATAATTATTAGTTGAGGCTTGTAATGCTTGCTCCTTCTTATCTTGTCGATGCATCTTCTGCTAATAAACCAACAAAGCACTTTGTAACTCATCATGAGAAAGATCATCAATATCATTTGATTCCTCAATAGAGCAAACAACATAATTGAATTTTGTTGTCATGGAGCAAAATATATTTCCAACAATAGTCACATCTTCCAATGTATCACCATGTATCCGCATCTTATTAGCGATTGCCATTGTCCTTGAGAAGTAATCTGAAACAGATTCTCCCTCCTTCATTTGTAGAGTTTCAAATTCACCACGAAGTGCTTGAAGCTGCATCCGTTTGGCCCTTGCATTCCCTTGATTCTTTTTCTTCATGGAATCCCAAATCTACTTGCCAGTAGCTTTTTTAAGAATGGTTTCCAGAATTGAGTGATCAATGGCTTGGAACATGTAGTTCTTTGCCTTAAGATCTTTCAATTTCAGCCCTTCTTGCTCTGTCTTTAGAGCATCTATCAACACAACTCCTGTTGTTGGTTCTGCTACTCTAGAATCAACAACCATCTAGTAATATTTGAACCTCAAGAAGTTTTTTATGAGCATGCTCCAATGGTGATAGTGACAATCAAAGCATAACATTGCAAGCTGTACAAAATTCTCAGAAGCTATGAAAGAAATTTATCACACAAGTGGAAAGAAGTAAGTTGTTGCTTTAAAACACTCCCTCGTGTGTGTTACATTCTTGTGATTTTAACCTCGCTCTGATACCAATGATAATAAATGGACACTCAAAAAAAAAAAATTATTGTAAGTAAAGAAAGCTACTACATTCTTTAAATGGGCTAAAGAAAACAACAAAAGCCAATTAAAAAAAATGAGAAAACTGAATGCATTGAAAACCTTTACAGAGTGGGCTATTTATAGCCATAGGGCCCAACTAAATTAACAAAAAATCTACTAACAACCCGATAAAGTAGGACTATCCTAAAAACTATGTAGAAAATAACTAACTTTCTAATGACTAGGTACAAGCTTTATTCATGCAAATAATTAATAGTAAATTTCTATCAACAGAATCAGAGATAGGAAAGATAGCAATTAATTAATTCTTTGCTGAAAGGAAACCATGATCTAATAGAAGCAAGAAATATAACCAGAATTCGAATATTATTAATGACGTGTATTTCGAGTTCATCGTCTCAGTGTTTTGTATTCATCCCAGAAGTTTGAAACCCAGATTTAAAAGATGAACATCGTCTCAGTGGTTATGTGATGTAATTTCTTAGCCGAGACCAACTTGTTATAATGGTCATAAATTGCGAACTTTCCCTGCAAATTTTCCTTTGAATTGCTTAGAACTTAAGAATGGGAGAGATGTTTTTGCTGTATATATATAAATATTGCGAAGCTGAAATGTGTTGTTGGACTTGCATATCAGGATTGAGGCTCCAATTATATATACGTAGTGCTATTGATCGCAATTGCACACTGGAAAGCAGCACCCTTTTGAATAATTAATAAGTTCATTGTAATTAATAATTATATTACTTTTAATTATTGGATTAATGGCTAATTATTCTTTTTTACTTTTCCCCTGATGTTGAGTTTAACTACCTTGCTTTAACCAGTAATATGTCTGTTCTTTTTAACTGTCAGCTTCCACTGCTAAAAGTAAAATATTGGTAATAACAAAGTACTTTGTTAGATATTATAGATGGTAGAGTGAAAATATGCACACTCTGTTATATTTCGATATATTCCACATACTCGACTGGTCGATTCACCTGTTCTAGGTTTTATAGTTGTTGTCCATAAAACCTAGACAAGGATCGTTTTCGCACAAAAGCGAATCGGTGTTGACAGCAGTAATGATCAAGATTCCAAGGAAAACCAAAACTGAGATGGCTGAAATGATGAGCATTATTGCAGATGCTACAACACCTTTAACCTGTTGTGCATATTCTGCTGAGGCAAGTGCAAGGAAAGTCAAGGGAAATGAGTATGCCCACCATGTTATATTGAACTTCTTCATTGATTTCTTGAAAAGTGCTGGCCGACATATCTGATTATATATAAGAAAAAACACGAGTGGTTAGACAAGAGTAAAACGTTTAGTAATGAGCCGTGTCGAAACCGTTAATTCATACGTATTATTCAAATTAGGATAGTCTGTACTCATTTTTTACCTTTACGAATTTCTTTTGGATTCCTAGTATCAAACTCAAGATACTTATGTTATGAGGTGCTTAAGTTAAATCTTGATACCAATTGAGGTTAGATGGGTACACACTCTTTCAAAGTATATATTGTATATGAATTAATGGCTTGGGCACATGCCTGGATCACTATATGTTATGTCCTACTTTTATTAAAAATTTATGGTGTGTCGATCATGTTGCACCTTAAAATCCTAACATGTAATTTATCCCTTGTCTGACAATCGTTCTTTCTCATTCTTTTTTTTCATACTCATTTTCAGTCATACATTTTCACAATAAAAAATTCTTCATGTAAATTCAAAAAAAAATTCTTTACTTTTTAACCACATTTTCTCCCAAAATTAACTACTCGAAGACAAATTAACTTACCAATGATGAGAAGAGAAATAGCGCGAGAAAGAAGAGCATTTTGCATGGCATATCAAAACTGCCAGAAATGGAGCTCCAAGCCAAGCTCCCCATGCTTGGTGCGGCTACAAACAAAAAGAAGACTGGCCGAAGCATTGCCGGGAAACGATTAGCCCCCGATAATCGCTGATAAAGCGTGATAAACACCACCAAATAATGAGCCATACCGAGTGTGAATATGCAAACAGCACTCTCTTTCCATCCCATTCTAGCTGCAGTCCATGCACCCACCAAATTCCCTATAACTGATATCTGGCTCGTAGGATTCGCCACCATCGACAGAAACCGCTTTTCCGTGGTAAACCACTGTCCATAAATCTTAAGATCAAGAAGCACCACAGGAACAACAAAAACCCACAACAGAATATGATAAGGAGCATCATTTTCATTCACAAATGGCCCTGTCTGGAGGAAAACAAGCCATGAAATCCATGGAGTGAAATGATAGTTAACACCAACATGGTGCAGGAACTCTGCTTTCACCAGATTGAAATAAAAAATGCACTTAAAAATGTAGAGAACAGAAAGAAGAATGAGAATACACAAGGAAAGCCACCAGAGTAGAAGAAAAGCCATTGAAGGGAAGGTATGAATATGTAAAATGAAATGAATAGCTTGTGTTTCGTATACATGTTCACTTAGGGTTTTCCATAGCAACACTTGACCCCCAAAAGAGAGACTTATTCTGAAATAGCCTGCATGGAGCCTGGTGAAAATGGATGGCGGTGATTTCTTGCCGAAATCACCATCTCCTTGTTGTGGATCAGTAACAATCTGAATCGACGACTTTGCCAGTTCTTGATCCTCCATCGAATATTATACTTTACTTATATATATAAATATATGTATCTCTTTCTGGTTTGATTATAAGAGGGATTACATATACATATCATTTTTTGCAGAACTCATATAGGGATGTTGGGAGAGAAAATGACATCACGAAGTTCGGTTCGAAATTACTTGGAACCCATTATCTAGTCTCACAAAGATAAGATTACTCAATTCTTTTGAGCCTGGAACCCATTATCTAGTCTCACACATCAAGAAAAAAAAAATATAGATATTAAGACGCCACTAATGTATAATTGTTTATTGTTAATGTATTTCTCTCCTAATTTTAAGTTCATATTTAGGGTTCGTTTGATAACAGTTTTTAGTATGATAAAAATTACAGATCTCATAACGAAAATTAAAATTTGATGAGTTGAAAAGTTGATATAAAGTTTATTAAATAAGTTGTTAATATTACCTTATAACTCTCCTTGAATATGACAATGTCTTGACACTAGAATGCATGAATGTAAAGTGACAACGTAAATAATTTAAGTTTCAAGAAGTTCGACTAGAAGTCACCAAGACACCAACTAACTAATTAGATAAATAAGCAAGTATACAGTATAAAAATACACTTATCACTAATTTAATCACTTATCTCAACAATTTATATGCATATGCAATAAGACGATAACTTATTTAAAAACATCATGAATCTTAAAAATGAATTGCTTGTTTGAGTCCTAAATGGATCAAATTGCTTATCGAGCTTTTTTAATTACATTACTATATTTATCCATGTAGTTTCATAAAATCAATTATATATTAATTAAAATAACATGAGATTTTATAGTTTTCAACATCTCATGCAAAAAAATCAAAAAACAAAACAAAAACAAAACAAAACAAAATATTTTTGTTTGTATTTCTCTTTTATCACCGCCATTTTTTTTTATAGCAGTTATTTTTGTTAGTCATTTTTTAGTTCGCCTTACCTAATATTCTTTTGAGATTATCAAAAGAACCTGTTAAAAATTTGCATATTGTATACTCAAACCTTTATATCATAGAAGTGGGGTCCCAAATATTTCACCTCTGGACGATTTTTATCCAAAAGTTCATTGGTTGACAAAAAGTTAGCGTTAGATCATAATTTGACCAATTTTTAAAAGTGCAAATGGTCTTTTAATCTTTAATTAATTGAAAATAGGAAATTTGCATCGATTGTTCCACTTTTAAAAATGTATCGCGCGATCCCAGACCTTAAATAAATTTGATCCTTAAGGACATTTAAAGGTTTTCATTCAAAAATCTATTAGTTGACCAAAAATATTCTTAAAAAAAAATAATTTTAAATTTTTTTTATCAATGACGTGTAATATATTCTTTCTAAACATTTTGTAACAAATTAAGAACTTGAAAATGATTTTTCTTCTTTTTCTTTTAGAAAAAAATAAAATAAAAAAGAACTACATTTAAGGGCGTGAACCACACTTGTGATCTGATATTACAGACTGAAAGAATCCAAGAAAGCTGCCCTGAAGTCTTCTCTATATTAAATCTTATCCAAATTTATTGTCATTTACGTGTAAAACATGATTGGCCGGAGTTATTGACTTCTCGTAACACGGTATATCTTTCAAACATATGACAGATTTCGATAAAGGGTTGTTTTACAAAAAAATTTATACAATTTTAAGAGGTTTAGATAAAATATAATTAAACTTCTGATTGAAAAATTAAATAAAAATTATAAATCTGTGATTCAAATTAAAATTTAATTATTAAAAGAAGAACAAAGTTTCATCAAACAAACTCACTTCCTACGCAACTCGCCAAAATTTCTGCATCTATTTTGTTTTTTCCAATTATTTGAAACTGACACCGAAAATGAAACCCTATAAATTTAACATCATGAAGATGGTTCATCCAAGCTTTAAACGACTTTTTTGAGTGGCGGAAAGTGTCATGAAGACATAACTTTTAAGTACAATCAAACATGTCGAATATTATGGTAACTTTCAAATACATTGTTTTGAACAAAACAAAAGGGAATTTTGTAATTTTGAGCTCCAAACCCTCCAGTGTGTGTAATACATAAGATAAAACTTTTCAACAAGTAAATTCACATTAGAACCTCAAAATTCACATTAATAAACACAACGAATGAAAAACATGAAGAAAGGTATTAATCTTGACAAAAGTACAAAAAATGGACACAAAGAAATAACCGGAACTTTTGGATTAATTTCCCATAAAACTGCTGGACTTGTTGCTAGTACTTGTATTTACGTTGGTGGTGTTATTGGTAGCGTTGCCACTGTCCGGACGCGAGCCACCCATTATGGAGGTGATGGCAGCAGCAAGGGCGGCAGAGAAATTGGGATCAGCCGTGATTGCGGCAGTGGCGGCGCTTAGAGTGTTGGTGAAGGATTGGTGGTGCAGCGGTGGCTGAATTTGTTCAATATTATTCTGAGAACTCTGAAGCCCTGAAAATTTGGATTGGTTTACCAGTGCTTGGCCAAAAACCTGAGGCATTTGCGGGTTTGTTACTGAAGCGAAATTTTGAGGATGGACAAGAAATGGGACTTGGTATTGAGTAGGTGGTACTCTTTGGCACTGTAATGGATTTGGACTGTGAGTTAGGTCTAAAGTAACAGTAGGAAAAGGAGCTGAGGCAGAAATTGTGGCCATGTTTGATGAATAAGGAAGAAGGGTTCTTGCAAGAAAATTAGGATTTATCAGACCATCCGGACTAGGCATAGATCCTGAAAGAAGCATGCTGGCCGCGGCTGAGGTGGTTGACGCCAAGGCCATGGCGGCTGGAGGCAGTGGATGATTATGAGTTCCTTCATAGGTTGTGGTCAAGATTGTTCGGTCCTCGGCACACCTTTGAACCTGGGATGAACCACAACAAAATTAGCTTAAAAGGTTAAAATTACACTTAATTCAGAAAATTTAATTTGTCAAGAAGATAAACATACTTGTTTGCGAACTGGACAACCGACTGCCATGGTGCAACGATAATAAGCTCGTGGACATGGGTTTCCTTTTGCCATCTTTTGACCATATTTTCTCCATTGGCATCCATCAGAAATCTGCAAATAATCAGAAATAGGGTTAGAGCCTGGATAGGCATATTCGAATTGTCAGAAATAGGGTTAGAGCCTGGATAGGCATATTCGAATTGTCAGAAATAGGGTTAGAGCCTGGATAGGCATATTCGAATTGTCAGAAATAGGGTTAGAGCCTGGATAGGCATATTCGAATTGTCAGAAATAGGGTTAGAGCCTGGATAGGCATATTCGAATTGTCAGAAATAGGGTTAGAGCCTGGATAGGCATATTCGAATTGTCAGAAATAGGGTTAGAGCCTGGATAGCCATATTCGAATTGAATTTCGAAGAGATTAAGGTAATAAACACCCAATTACCATGGGCGCTTCTGACCGGGCTCGAACAGAAACGCGAGCCTTCTTCATGGTAGCCTCCGTGGATTGATCCACTGGATTTGAGGGATTCAACTTGGGAATCTTGTTAGGGCCACAACTATCTGATTCTGGGCTCTCAGCACGGCCAATCTTTTTGTGAGGCGATCCAGATGTAGTTTTTTCTTCTGATGAAGAATTAGATGGATCATCAATTTCACTGGCAAGGCCTAAATCCAAGAATTGTCTAGGAACTGTTGCACCTCCATTTTCTTGTTTCTTCTGAACCCAACATACACATATTATTGTATTAGGCTATTAACTTCTCGGCAACAGCAGAAAAAAACCGATTGATATTGCAAATATTATTGAATTACCTCGTGTTCTTGTGTGCTATCATGCGCAGTTGAATTTTTCTGCTGCTGCATTAATCCCACGAGATGCATCTGCAACGCAGTATAATTGCTGCTCACCTGACTTAGCATCCCTCTTAACCTTTGATTTTCAGCATTCATTCCTTCAAGCTCAACTTTCAATTTTGCTAGCTATATTACAGACAAATAAAAAGAATCTAATTAGAAATTTAAGTTACAGTAAGATTAGAGTAACGTTATTCATAGTCGCTGATAGTCGCACTACATAACACTCTACATGACCAATTGTGATTTGGCTCTTATATCAAATCACTAACCGTCATATGTATCTCACGTAAGACTACCGTAATAATGAGTAAATGCAAATAGTATTATTCTTGAGACTATGAAACTTAAACTTTAAAGTTGAATCTCCTTAATTACCTCATTTTTTGCTCGCTTATCTTCCACATCCGATGAAATCCCATCGTCAACCGTTGATTGATCACTTCCAGTGTTAATAACAAGTTGCAAACCAGTCTATACACGTAATAAGGTGACCAAAAAAAAAACCAGTAAATACCAATAATAATCTTAACTGCATATCCAAAAATTCTGTTACTTACGTTAACATCCGATTCCCTTGCGGTGTGTAAATCTTCCTTCTTGACAGACATATCCTTGACAGGCCTATTCTTGTCGGAAAAGAAGTCTACTTCTCCTAAAACCACCCGTCTCTCATCGGCCGGAGATGAAGCATACTGTTCTTCTCTACCAGTCAGAAACATAGTAGCTGTACCCTCTTTATCATATAACCTGGAGCTCAAATCAAATCCAAAATCTGACTTGCTCGTGAAAAACCCAACAGGATCAGAATTTTCAAGGGTAAGACACCATCCTTTGTCCATAAATTATCAAAAACTCAATCAGATAGCTTAAGATGTGGGGGAAAATGAAAATGATATCAATTTTTTTTCTATTTTATTGTTTTATGTTTATCAAGAAAATTAAGAGAGGGTAAGGTCAAGAATTTGAGAAGTCTTCTACAAATGCAAAGAGCAAGTGTATATAAAAGAGTTGGATGAAGAGAGAGACAAAGAAAAACTTTCTCGTAGACCAGAAATTTGACGATATGGTTCAGACGTGCGTGTGCGAGTGGGAAGGCCAAGGAGGATTTGATAATGTTAACGTAAGACTGTGCGTCAGTATTGCTGCCAGGTGTCATTGGGGGACCCAAATAAAAGAATAATGTTATTTTCAATCACTTACTACAGCAGTCGCCCTATATGACATATAC